TAGGTGTGTTTCTCCTAAAGAAGAGGGACCAATGAAAAAGGTTGTCATGTTGCCCGTTGGTTCCAGCATGGAAAGCATTACACTTAGTTACAATGGACATTATGCTTCTATTAATATAAAGGGAGGTCAGGTACCCTTTAAAACAGCTGCTAGTTATGGTACTGTTTTACTTAAGCACATTTCAAAGCCTCTTTATCTTGACTTGAGTAAAGAAGTTTTGAGTCAGTACTTTTAAGTTTTACCAGCAGTATTTTAAAGCACGAGTCATCCTTACTTCTACTTAAAGTACAGGATGTGTGTACTTTTGGCCTATCGGCAACAACAAGAAAATGATATCATCGTTTGAACGTAAAAGAAAATAACGAAAATGTGTCGTTCTGTGAGCCGGGTGATGCAAATATCCTGGAGAATGACAGATGTATGTTTTGTGTTTTCTTTAACCTTTGGAAGCGTGGTGCATCATCTTGCGCAGGCAGACTCTCCAGGTTGACACCGTTTTGCAATCAGGAGGCATTCACCGCCGTCCCTCTTCGGTTGCGGGGTTGATACGCTGCGCCCGTCGACGCCACACGCCAGGATCTCCATGCTTCAGCTCTGGCAGGAACCAAAACAAAAGCCTCCTGTCAGTGGCGGGAAAGTAACTTTACGCTCAAGTAGGTGCACAGATGGGTCAAAATAGCAAGCCACAATAAAATAGTCTGGGGAGCAAATTAATTGATATGCTACAAACAAATTTGGCCAGGACCGTTGAAATTTCGGAAACATTGGGTTGGAGATTAGAATTTTCCAAAGCGGCGGCGCGTTCGTTGCATGAAACACGTTGAAATAAATCAATGGATAAGTAAAAAAGAAAGTAGAAAGAAAGTTGAAGTCAAATGATTGAAGTCAGAACTAACACGTCTTCCAGATGTGTAGTATCTCACCACTGCACTGTAACCTTTAATTCATGTACCTTTTGTTAATTCATCGTTTTTATTATCTTTGCTTTTAAATGAGTGTTTGTAAAATGCTTTTTAAAAAATATGTTTCCCTTCATAGGCGCTGTCACACCAAGTACTTCCAGAAATAGTTCCCGGAACTGTTTAATTCCGAACTATCTAGTAGATCGCGTTCACACCCGGAATAATGTCCCTGAGGTAGGATTACGCAAATAAAGCCGGCTGACCGTCACTTCTTCTTCTTCTGCTTTGGTTTACTGGCAGGACCCGCAAAACCTTCAAGCGTAAATCGCACCCGAACCCGAGAAAATCGGCCAGAAAGCGAAACACCTCCTCATCAGCTAACCGCTCCCAACGATTTAATTTTGTGTTGCCATAAGTTAGTCCCTCCTCCGTTGGTGCGCTGGGCTAATGCTATCATAAATGCTGAAATCTAGCAAATAAAAATGCGCTTCACAAAAAACTTTTCTGAGTTACCGGGGCGTGGTTTGCAATTCCCCAGCCCAATCAGAAATTGGAACCTTTTCCTCGCCAGGAAAGTACCACCTCTCTAGCAGAACTGAAAGGGGGCTCGAAAAGGTTCCCCGAAAAAAGTTCTACGTTCCAGATCTTTTTGGTGTGAACGCAAAATCCCTAGGAACCTATCCTGGGAAAAAGTACTGCCGGTGTGAAAGCGCCTAATGGCCTCTTAATGTCTTTCATTTTGTAAAGCACTTTGAATTGCCTTGTGTCTGAAAGGGTGCCATATAATAAACATTGCCTTGCCCTTGCCTTACTGTCCTGAACAGAATTGTAGAGTTAACCATGTACTTTTGATACTTTCAATTTTATACTTATATTTATACATGTTCCCTTTCTACTTTTAAAAGCCAGTATTTTACCTTTTATACCTTAATTATTCGCCAGTTTCAGTTACTTGTTATCAATGTTCACCAAGTCAAAGTCTACTTCTATTGTCATCAGACATGAAAGATCGAAATACAGTTTCCCACAATCCCGAATACAAAAATAATACCCAAATATGTATAGGGCAGGAATATCTTTATCCTATATATACACAGCATCAACAGACAACATATACTACATATGTTGTAGTACAGGTGCACATTCTGTACCTTAATGTTTGGTTTATATACATTTATATATATAAGTATGGTTTATTCTATTTAATTGTGCCTTTAATTACAGATATTTTTACTATAACTCTACTTAAGTTGGTATAAAACTTTACATCTCTTATTTTGTCTTGAATTGGACTTTCACTTATATATATTATTTTTTTAGTTAACCTGTGTTACAAAACTCAATGACCACCAGGGATAAAAAAAAAAAGGCATCAAGGGTCAGATCGGATTTATTAGCGTAAGTCTACACTAGTAACTTCAACAATTATGTTTGGCCTTTATCTGTTAGGCCAGGTTATAAGGGAGAGGAGAACGCTCCACAGGGTACATTGTACAGCATTTCTGGCAGGGACTTCTCTTGGGCGGGAGAGCGCGCAGGTGGAACACAAAAGCTCCTAACAGTTACTCTCCCCTCTCCTCTTTAAATGTGAGCAGTGATTGAGGAGAGGGGGGGGGTCTCTGTTTGAAATGATCCCTGCTGAGCGTCTCTCTGCACGAGGTGTAGGTAACACAAGCTGGAGGTGTTTTTGCGTTTTCCGGCTAATCAATTCTTACAAGATTGCCCTGTTGTTACTGTTTTGCCCAATTTATCTAAATCCCCGGGGTGGTTGATAGGCATAGCCCGAGAACAGTTTGTTAAATAGAAGGGTGGCATTAAATCTGACTGCATATGGTTCATTCTAGCTTTTTAAAGAGGCCCTATTGCCGTGTTTATTTTCAGGTCATGTTATTTAGTGCACTCCTGTGACATGTTCCATGCTTTAATGTTCAAAAAAGCTCTTATTTGTCCTCATAACTGCAGGCAGCTCTTTTTCACCCATCTGTCTGAAACCAGAGCCAGCCTGCTCTGATTGGTTGGAGGCCGGCTCTGTTGAGATAGGTCAACCGCTTAGAGCACTGTCCCGCGCCCCTTAAACTTGTCCACGTACAATAGTGT